AACTCACTGTAACCCCCAGGCTCAAGCTGTCCTGCAGTCTTAGCCTCCTGAATAGCTGGAACTACAGGTACACACCACCACACCTGGTTAATTTTGGGGGTTTTGGTAGAAAAAAGATCTCACCGTGCTGCTCTATTTCTGTCTGTATCTCCACAATGCTTTGTCCATAGTAGTTAGTGAGACAGGCAGCAAAAGCTTTACATGGAGGAGTGGGTGTGGGGAGTCCTAAGAAGAAATTCAAGGTGGTTCTTAGTGGCCAGCAGCACCACTTGTTCTCTCTGTTCCTCCCTATGGGATTAGTGCTTCCTTAGACCACGGTGCTGGCAATCTGCTTTCTGCAGGGCTGACCAACACACACACACACACACACACACACACACACACACACACACACAGACACAGTTTCACTATCATATGCAGAGCAATAAACCTCATCTTATTTGTAAGATTTCTGCACTTCAGGATAATCAATAAAACATACCTGCCGGCCCACTCGGTCAGGAGGAGGCCACAACGCATCATCCTCTTTGGTAATTTCACTGTCATCAATTATTCTCTTCAGTTCCTCCATCACGCTTTTATGTACATAAGCCTGAAAGCAAGTTAAAAAACAAAATGTATGTTGTATCCTTAAGCAGTGTTTTGACTCAGATAGTGATGGAAAATAAAAATAACTGTTCCAGCAGACTTATTTCTGGCATCCCCTGAAGTAGGAAGACATTCACTCTCAACCTCAGCATGGTGCAGGTGAGGGACAGGGTCAAATGTATCAAATAACTGTACCTCAGTCCCCCATCTAGCTGGTACTACTCCTGGTACATCCTGTTCACATGGCCCTTCTCCAATTCACAACAGAACCCAAAACAGATCTGTGAATGCCCCCTACTGTGGTTTAAATATTTGTGTCTCCTACAAAATTCATGTTGAAATTAATCCCCAAGGCAACAGTGTTAAGAGATAGGGCCTTTAGGAGGTGATCATCCCTTGAGGGCAGAGCCCTCATGGACAGATTAGTGCCTTAGGAGAGACCTAAAGGGAACTAGCTGGCCCCTTTCCTGTTCTTTCACATGAGGATACAGCATTCATCCCTTCTGGGGGATGCAAAAACAAGGCACAATTGTGGAAGCAGAGACTGGGCTCTCATCAGACACTGAACCTGCCAGTGCCTTGATCTTGGCCTTTCCAGCCTCCAAAACTGTGAGAAATGTATTTTACCGAGTCTCAGGTATTTTGTTACAGGAAAACAAGAGACTGAGACATCCACATGCCCGGGTTATTCTTAACTAGGTAATACATTCCTGAGGAACAAAATGTATTTTAAAAGATATGCCTGTGTACAAAAATAGTGAGGATGCTGACGTGTGTATATGCATAAAATCAATAGCTAAAATAACAGTATGAAAATATACGCTAAGGCATTTTCAAAGGTGGCAAAGTCACTAAAAGGAAACAGTAGCTTTGATGAAGCCTTAACAATGTGGTAGAGATCACAGAATGGAGAATACAAACTTTACTGGGCAGGGTTGGGAATTCCTGCTGTATCTCTTACTAGCCGGGGTAACTCTTAACAAGCCTCACAATTAATATCTGGGGTTTTATTTTCTTATAATACCCTCCCCCATCACATGGGCTTATAATTAGGGTTAAATAAGATGCCCTGCCTGACATCTAACATGCATTCAATGATATCAACTGCTTTTCCACGCTCCTTTGCACATTCAGATGTAAATTAAATAGCTCTCCATTGAGTACTGCATGCCATTGAATATACTGAGCACTTTAAGTATAAGCTATTTAATTTTATGACAGCACGTGGGAGTGGGAGATAGCTTTTATTATTATCCCTGCTTTTACAGGTGAAGAAACAGGGACTTACCAAGTTCAGCCAGGAACTTGCCCAAGGTCACATGGGGCAGTAGGCAGCAGACTCAGGGTTCAAACCAAGGTATTGTCAAGTTACCAGTTGTTGATTCCACATTGTAAAAGAAAACAAAAATACCAACTAAAAGATGATTTGTAATCCAGAAGCTGCCTACAGGCATGTGTTTTTCTCCCTGTTCTCTACCTTTCAATACTACCAGAAAGAACCAAAAAATGCAAGAAAAAAAGCTGAAATGTAGCAAATGAAGGACTCTCAGAAGGCAGAAGGCTCATACCTCTTTTCTGATCATGACATCGTTCTTGTAATTGCTGTTGTTGGCATATCTTAATTTCCCTGTGGGGGCAAAAAACAAATTCCATGTATAATAAAAACATATGAATAAAGCATCAATACGTACCAAGACTATCAGCAGTTCCCTAAAATGTATCTAACTTGCTCAAAGTGTCTAATAGATTTATTATTTACTCTTACGGTGTTTCAACAATACTAGTCTTTTCAGTTCTTCACTTCAGGCTTAAACAGCCAAATATACAGTGACACTCTACTGCAAAACACAGCTCAGGTAAGATATAAATACAAGCAGGCTCTTTTCTGACATTGTCAAATCACATTTTTGCAGGTTAATGTCCTGAAAACAGGCATAGTAATTGATAAATTACCCGCACATAGGACCTCCTGAGGCTAAAATGAGTTGTGAAAACTGTAGGATGCTGTTTACATATATTATCATGTGACTGTGCCACACTCTATTTCTGTGATGGAAAAGCTGTTGCTTTTATCACTGAGCACATTTGGTACACAAGACCCTTTGTCCATGGGTGCATGTAACAGGTTAATGTGAGTATATGTTGGGGATGAGGGGAAAAGTAAATAGAAGATATGACTTCTCCTGCTGTAGACTAGAAGACATACATGTGAGATGAGCCAAATGAATTTATCCAACAGCCTCTGTGTTGCCTCTCTGCCTCAAGTTTCTTCACGTTCAGTTCACTGTCCATACAATGGACAAGGTGATATGTTAACAGACCTATCAGATTGGGTTACTCTAATATTTTAATACAGGCAATGGCTTTCCACTGCCTTCCTGGTGAAATCCAAACTCCTCAACATGGCATACAGCTAAGCTGGCCCCCGCCTGCTTTTCTAGCCTCACTCCTGCAATATTCTTCTCTCACATGGCTGGAGTCAAACTACGTGGTATTCCGCCTGAAACATCCCAAGCACTTTTTGGTTTTCAGCCTCTTTGCATGTTGTCTAAAATGCCTTCTTGACTCTTCTTGGTCTCCTAACCAATTCCTCACATCCCTTCCTTCCTCCCACATCATTTTATGTAGGAAGCCTTCTCTGACCCTCCGGCTTGGTTAGGTGCCTCTTCTCTGCTGCGAGCCTCCTATGTTTCTTTTTACCACAACACCTAATACACTGTTTTGTCACTGTTTGCTTATAAATCTATCTCCCTCACAGTCGGGGCCTGTCAGTTTCATCTTTGTGCCCCACTTAGTGGATGTTTTCTGTTATCTTTGATTCTTCTTTCCTTCACCACAGTGCCTCCCCCAACAAGATCCTATCAATCAGCAAAGTCCAACTGTTTCTGCCTCCAACAGTTTCCTAAATCCTCCTTTCCACTTCTACTGTCGCCATAGTCCCAACCAATAACCTTCTTGTCTTGACAACTGCAACAGTCTCCTCCTACTCAGTAGCCCTGTTTCCACTCTTGCCTATTGTGCACCCATAACCAGAATGCTTTTTCAAGAACAGATCCCATTTTTTCTCTCTTTAAAACCTTCTAAGTCTGGCTGGGCGTGGTGGCTCACGCCTGCAATCCCAGCACTTTGGGAGGCCAAGTTGGGAGGATCATCTGAGGTCAGGAGTTCGAGACCAGCCTGGCCAACATGGTGAAACCCCATCTCTACTAAAAATACAAAATTGGCCGGGTGTGGTGATGGGCGCCTGTAATTCCAGCTACTCGGGAGGCTGAGGCTTAGAATCTCTTGAACCCGGGAGACGGAGGTTGCAGTGAGCCGAGATCGCGCCACTGCACTCCAGACTGGGCAAAAAGCGAAAACTCCGTCTCAAAACAACAAACAACAACCCTTCCAAGTCCAATTCCAAACAACAACAACGACGACAACAACAACAACAAATCTTCCAAGTCCAAACAACAATAAACCTTTCAAGTCCAAACCCTTTACCATGGTCTTTAAAGACTTACAAGGTGTGGCTCCTACCTACCTATTTGACGTCATCTCCTGCTATCTCTCAGCTTACCACTCTTCAACCGCACTGACCACTCGAGAGGCATGCCTAGCTCATTCCCGCCCTGCAACCTTGACATCTGCCAATCCCTTTGGGTAGAATGGTCTTCCTCCTGAGCTTCACAAGGCTGGGTCCTTGCTGTTAAGTAGGGATCGGCTGCAATATACCCTTTACAGAGAGCTCTCTAATGGTCAACCTACCTAAAAGCAGCCAATCCAGGAATTATTCTACCATGGTTTTTTTTTTTTTTTTTTAAAATCACTCACTACTATCTGGAATCATCTTTTTGTTTATGATCTCTCTCCCGGCACTAAAACACAAATTCCATGAGAGGGGAAGTTCGTCTACCTTCGCTGCCGTTTCCCCAAAGAGGGAAACAGAGCCTGGCACACAGTGGGCCTAAGGTCAACACTGGTTAAATGGATTTAAAAAAACAAACAAACCCGTGGAGCAGACGCGGGGCGTTCCTTTCAGATTCGCGCTGCACAGGTCTCAGTCCCTTCCTCGTCTCTTTCCCCATTGATTTCCGACCCTCCGCCTCCCCACTCGCCCGCCCTCAGCCGTGGTCCCCGCTCCCGGCAGGCTACAGGCTGCTTTTACCGTCCGGTCGGAACTCGAACTCCAGGAACTCGTGGCCGAACTTGCCCTTGTGCCCCACGTAGTAACGTAGATAAAAGTCACTCTCCATGGCTCGCAAAAGACAACCGAGACGGAACTTCTCAGAGAGCCGCACCACCGCGGTCTGCGCCCGACACTGACGTTTGGGGCGGCGCGCGGAAGTGACGTCGACCCCGCCGTCGCGTATTGGAGGGGTTCCTTCTCGCTAACCTCTTCGCCCGGAAGTGGCAACAAGACCCCGGAACCAATAACGCACTTTGTTTAACCCGGAGGCGGGGCCGAGCAGCTCCGCCCCGCCAGCTGGCCGCGGGAGCGAGGTTGAGGTTCGACCTCTCAACCCTCTAGGTTGTCTCCAGGCCTGAGGCCGAGAGCCTACCGCCCACCAAACTCTGGGCTTTGAACGAGGAGTTCGGATACCTCGCTTAAAGACCTCGGGCCGAACACCCCGAGCCTTTTACCCGCCAGGATCAACCTCAGTTCACAGGACCCCTGACTTCTATGAATCGTACACCGCTGTTTACCGTCTCTGCACCTAGGTCATCTCGGCAGTAAAATGGGGTAAAACGACCCGAGCTCCCCCGAGGACGCCGCGCCCGACGTGTGCCTCAAGTTGGCTTCCACTGACCTGAATGTTAAGAAAGCCGTCCTCTCTGTCTCAAAAAAGAAAGAAGGAAAGAGAGTCGTCCTCAGTGACGCTCTCCCTGAATCCACGGTGGAGATAGTTTCCCTGGAACTAATTCACTCACAGTTATCCATTGCATCCCTTTCTACCTTTTATTTCTATCTTTCTACCTCACTGGTCTCCAGAATAGGTGCTTGAGAAGTTAAAAGTGAGTATTTGATCTCCCATTCCCCACTCATCCTACTTAGCAGTAATTGTCAGCCTGGCTGCGCATTGCAATCACCTGGGAGCCTCTAAAAATACTGATGTCAGGGCCCCAAGCCAATTAAAATCTCCAGCGCTGGGCCTGGGAATTGGTACTTTTCGTAAAGCTCCCAGGTGAGTCAGAGTTGAGGACCACTGACCAAAGGGGCTCGCTCTTTTCTTTTCTTTTATTTTCTTATTTAGGAACAGCTTGGGATGATCCAGGTCAAGGGGCTCGCTCTTTTCAGGATAAAGTGGTTGTCCTCTATGAAGCCTTTCTGGCTCTGGAAAAATGTACAATTGAGCAGGCCCAGGGCAATCAAGATCATAATTATATACTAGGAGCCTGCTTTCATTCATCTAAGTTCCAGCTTAGAGAGAACGAATGGTTCTAGAGACAGTGCCTAGATGACATCATTCTCGGGGCCTGGTAACTACAGCTGTGTACCGTTCTGTAAGTCAGGACTGCAGTCTGATTCCTGTCCCCAGTCTTAACATTGAGTCCTTTTCTCCCTGAAAAGCATTAGAAGCAGAGCATAGAGTAGGTGTGGTGGGGGAAAATCACTGAAGACGGGTTAAAATAATCCCTTGTGTAACAGTGACTCATTGTAACCATAGGTGAACTGACTCAACTTTTTAGACTTCAGTTTCCTTCTCTTTAAATGCGCGTAACAATGTCCACCTAGCAGAACTGTTATAAGAAACAATGTCGAAATTGCTATAAAACCTTAAGGCATTTTTATTACAAAACACTGGATATGGGTGGTAACAACAGAATTGTATAAAAGAGAATGGGGCTAGACACGGTGGCTCACACCTGTAATCCCAGCACTTTGGGAGGCTGAGGCAGGAGGATCACTTGAGCCCAGGTGTTTGAGATCAGCCTGGGCAACATAGGGAGACCTTGTCTCTACAAAAAATTTAAAAATTAGGTGGGTGTGGTGGTGCACACCTGCAGTCCCAGCTACTTGGGAGGCTGAGGTAGGAGGATCATTTGAGCCTGGGAGGTTGAGGCTACAGAGAACCATGATCACACCACTGCACTCCAGCCTGTGTGACAAAGCAGGACCTTATCTCAACAAAAAAAAAAAAAAAAAGGGAACTACCACGTATCAAGTACCTAATAAATGGCAGCCCCTAGGCTGAATGGGATTACATGTGCTTATTCTTTGAATCATCACAACAATCTTGAGGTGGTAATTAGAGTTAAGTAGAAGTGTTAAGCAATTGCTACAAGGTTATTTTCCAAGAGTAAAATTATAAAAATATAAGTGAATCTGGCATCTGCAGATGTGGCAAATAACAAAAGTGTTGAGAAATTTAAAGGATGCACAACACCTATCAGTCTGTAAAGTAATCCAGGTTTTTGGATATGAGACATGGTATAACTGAAAGAGCATGATCTGTGTCTGTGGTGTCTGCATTTGGCATAATTTAATGAGCATCTACTGAGTGTGTGCAGAGAGGATACAGTGTTGAGCAAGACAGTTCTTTACAGAGCTTGCAGAGGAGGTAGTTAAGAAGCATGCAAGCAATTACAGTGTAAGGATAAGATTACTAATAAAGGAAGCACAAGATACTTGGAAGCACATGAGGTGGCTGCTAATGCAGTGTAGTGTGGGGAACATTCCCGTGTGAGACCCCCAGAAGGCGTGAGTCTCACTATACGGTGAGTTTGATCCCAAACACAGTTTCCTGTTGGAGGCAGTTGAGCTATCGGGGTGGGGTGGGGGTGGGGTGGGGGGTTGGGGGGGGAAGGAACTTAAAGATGAATGATCAGTTTCTAATATCAACCACGATATTGTTTGGGCCTAAAACTATGCGGTGCTGCTAGACTGAGTGATCCCCTGCCAGCAACCAGTTTCCGCTTTTAACTTTTTATGACTCTTTCTTTAAGAATAAGCTTTAACCTTTTCTTTACTTGCCTGACTGCCTTGTACCCTAGATAATGGTTTAACTGTCGGGATATTTGCAAAGCAAATGCCACCATACGGGATGGCTTTGACTCCTGAATGGGGGAGTTGAGATAAGTTGAGTCAGGAGCAGACAAAGGAGAATCCGGTTAAAAGATACTCTGATGAGGAAAACCAGAAAACCTTTTCACATCTCAGTTCTAAAACAAGCTTTGTGATCACAGGAAATTCTGTTACTTTTTACAACCACTGATTGCATCTCTGACTTCTCTATTGTATAGGCCATGTAAGGTAGATTTGCATTTCCTCTTGTGACGTAAACCAGAGCAAAGAAAGTGTATTTATTCCTGGCCTTTGAAAAATAAAATTTGCTGTTTAGGCACAGCCTATCCAGCCCTCCAGATCCCCACTGTCTTTCATATTTCTTCAAGCACACGCTCTCTTCCAGGTATTGGGACCCTCTTGCAGGTCAAGAGACCCCCCGGCAGACGTGCCTACCTGTCCCGGATGGTCCCCGACAGTGTAGGGTCCTTAGGGAAATGTTCCTGAAGGAAATGTTCCAGACCGAGGGCTAGAACTGTGTGGTTAAAACATAGTGAGTGATGAGCTGGAGACCGGGCAGAAACCAAGTCGTGAAGAGCTTTATCAGCCATATTAAAAGAGTTTGGGCAAACCCAAGAATATTGGATTTTGATGGCAGTGAAGCAGTTGACGGGCTTTAAGCAAGAAAGTGGAATGAAGTGGTGGTGATGTATCTATGGCATGTTAGAAAGACACTTTGGCTGCAGTGTTGTAGGGTGGATTGGAAAATGAAAAGACTAGAAGTATGACATTCACGTAGTCACATCTATTAGCCAGGCAAGGTGGCTTATGCCTGTAGTTGTAGTTACTTAGGAGGCTGAGACAGGAGAATTGTTTGAGCCCAGGAGGCGGAGGTTGCAGTGAGCCAAGATCGCGCAATTGCACTCCAGCCTGGGCAACAGAGAGAGATCTTTTCTCAAAAAAAAAAAAAAAAGAAAAAGAAAAGAAAAGAAAAGAAAAAAATAATTAGCCAGGCATTGTGGCATGTGCCTGTAGTCCCAGCTACTCAGGAGGCTGAGGTGGGAGGATTGCTTTAAGCCCAGGAGTTCAAAGTTGCAGTGAGCTATGATTCTACCACTGCACTCCAGCCTGGGTAACAGAGCATGACCCTGTCTCTTAAAAAAGAAAGAAAGAAAGAAAGTAATCTATGACAGTGGTAATCCAAGAAAATGGTGATGTGTACTTAGGTAGTGGCAATGGAGATAGAAAAGTGGATGGATTTGAGATGGAATCCTATAATTTAAGGGGTGGGTAAAGGAGACTCAGATGTGGCCAGAGATCCTGGAGAAAACCATGAGTATGGTATCATGGAAGCCAAAATAAGAGTATTCCATGAAAAGAGTGACTAATAGTGTTAACTACTGCTTCCAGGTCAAGGAAGATCAAGACTGAAAATGTTTACCAGATTTATAACTGAGGAGGTCCTGAGTGACCTTGGCAAAAGCAACCCCAATGGCATGGGAATGAATGGTAGGGCGGAAGTACTGGGATGCAAGTAGACAAAAATGGTTCTGGAAGTACAGAGGCAAGTTATCTAACCTAGTCTTAGAGAAAAGGGAAGGCTTCCTGGAGGAGGCATTACCTAAGTGGAGTACTCAAGGACAAACAGGAGCTAGTCACCTAGAGGCAGAGTGGGAAAATTTAGGCAGAGAATGCTACATGTACAATTGTCCTTTGGGGGCACTAAAAATAACCTGTGACTTTGGGCAGTTACTTCACCCATTTTCTCATCTATAAAATGGGAGTGGATAATATTGATAGTATTTGTCTCATTGAATTATTGACAAAGATTGAGATTATGTAGAATACTGGTGTACGTTAGGGACTCAATGATAGTTCACTTCCCCCTCATTAAAGTATCACAATGAAACAATACTTAAAGGTTTTTTAAAAATGAATTTAATCTCTCTCTAGAAACAGTGCACTGATTTTACAAATGTCCACATTTGGTTTTCAGTTTACCAAGATGATGTCAGTACAGCTAGTGAGATGCAGCACGCCATCTTCAGCCCCCTTGCCTTTGGAAGAGACACCAGACGGCAAAGGGCACACCGCGTACAGAAGCTAACCGAACTTGAATGACAAGACAAAAAGAGCAGAACCAGTTAGTGCGACGCAACATTCCAACATGCCTGATTGTTACATCAAATATGGGAACTTAGGGGCTGGTGGGGGAAGACAAACAAGGAAAATCCATTTAGAAACAATCTGATGAAGTTTGCAAACCAGCACTTTACCCCTAAATTAACAACAGCTTGTATGGGGGGGAAAAATTGCTATTTTAAAAGTATATGGTTTGGACAGGTATTTGTTTTCTCTTGTAGTTTTTGTAAAAAAGTATCAAAACCTTGGCTTTAAATATATATATATGTATATATATACAAGTGGCTTTTTAAAAATTACTTTTTATAGCACAAAGTGTTTGTAAATGCAGAGGGTTTCTGCTGATTCTTGACTGTGCACATGGTGCATAGCCCGAATAAACAGAGCTTCCTGATTTTTTTAATAACTGAACATTTGAAACAGTAATTCTTTAACCTTCTATACCCTAAAAATACAGTGTGAGAAGACTGTTACTCTACCTTCATGCATTTCGGGAAAAGGAATTATTTACTCTGAAACTTTTAATGCTAACTCATTTATGTTCTGTGACACGATGAGTGTGTGGCTGGAGTTCGGGGGGTGGGGTAGAGAGGCTTGCCTTCCTGTGCCATTTCCCCATTCCCATCAGTGTCTGACTGGACAGTGATTGGTAGCCCCTCTCCAGACTTGATGTCTTCAAAATTTTCAGGTTTCTTTCTCACAGTTGAGAAAATCTAAGAGGCTCTCGACAACATGGCATGCTTCTGTGAAAATCCCACTGCCCTTATATTAGTTTTCATTGACCATATAAAAAAATCTTTGACTCAAATATATGAAAAGCAGTCAGCATTTCCCTTTGGCCACCGTAAAGCTTGAGGCTGAATAACGTCAGGTCTGCAAAGTGCTGGCAATGCATCCGAATGAATTTTCCTTGATGCATTTTGTGCCTTGTAAACAATGACCAAGAAATGCTTAATTCAATCAGAAATTAATATAACTATAAAGTGCTTACATTGAACCTCTTTCCATCTAGCCTCATTTCTTGCTAAGTCTCTCTTGAGCCTTTTGTTCCTGTTATAATGAACTACGTGCAGTTCCTTAACATCCCCATGCTGATTCATACCTCTGTGTTTCGGCTCAGTGTGTCTCTGCCTGAAGCAGCATGGAATCCCCTTCTTAATTTTTAAGACTTAGATCACTTCTATGATGACCCTATTCCTCATCTTCCCAGGTAGAAAGACCTGTCTCTCCTTTGTGCCCTAACAGTGCTCTGAATAGAATCTATTCCTTTTGTGTTTCCACATGTATCTTCCTCCACTGCTACTGTGACCTCTGTAAAGTCAGAACATGTTTGACTGACCTTTACATCTGCAGTGTCAGGTGTGTAGTTGGTACCTAGTGAGTGATTTTAGTGAGTGAATATACTGGAGGGGTCAGTAGGACTTACTGCCATACACTTAAATCTGATCTCATTCTCTTTTTGCCAGTTAACACGTTGCTTCTATCTGTTTTATAAATAATTGTGCTATGAAGAGTAAATTACAATTTTCATTTTCTCCATTTCTGGAAAGCATCTCAGCCAGTGCCTTTGTAATTCCACTGGAAAGGTAGACCATAGTATAGGCAGCAGGTTTGATACAATGTTCAGGCAGCTGAAAAAGTCTTCCTGCAGAAGAAAATGGGGGAAAAGCACTGGCACTGGCTTCTGATAAATTTTCTGCCCTCTTGGCATTATCTCTGAGCTTCCTTCCAGCTCTATAGTCCAGTGACTCTGTGATCTGTGATTGGCTGTAGATACCTATGCATGGGTGCAAAAGGCAAAATATATGTAACTTACACCTCAAAATGAGGCTGAAAGGCCTCTATGAATGGGGGAAGGTGGATCTGACTTCTCAGGTTTCATCTTATTTACTGCCATCCAACACATCAGTATTTTACAATTTGTTTCTCGTAAAGGATTGCTCCCATAGCTGCCTCTTTCAAACTGCAGCTGTAGCACATGCTGGAAACATGGGTGTCTCTGAGAAAGTTGTGAATTTCATCATCGTTTTGAGATCTCAGGCTGTACGTCCAGACCCCATTCATTATTTTTTTTCTGTGAATGCCAGGATCTGACTGAATAGTTTAGAAACTATGCCTTAGCCACTGTTATCATTTAATTCCTTAGAAAATGCAGTTTCTTTGGAATAAGGTTACAGAAAAAGTTACTTGTTTTGAGTAAATTTCCATGTTTTTCACTGTCATTTTTCTTCAGTCAAAAATAATGTTACTTTCTGTTCTTAAAAGAATAGTAATATGTGATTAAGCCCCATAGGAGTTGGCCACCTGTTCTTAAAATTCTGTTTGGTATTGGTCATTCTAGGTCGACCGCATTTACCCTCTCAGTGAATGTTTCAGGACTATCCACACATGCATGTCATGAGGAGATTGCTGGCTTATGCAAAACACAGTGCCCAAGCTCCAGAATGTAGTTGTTTTCTTAGAGTTTAGGAGACCAAGAGGGACGCAGAGGAAGGCCCTAGGAACAGGATGCTAGAACTCTAGAATGTCTGACTAGAAATTCAAAGGCTATCAAGCTGGTGAGACATCCAACCTTCACTGAGCTGGGGGCATCTGGTGGATGGGGATAGGAAGGCATTTGCTTAAGTGTGTCAAGTTTCAGGTATGATAAGGTTAGATACATGTCCTTTGCTTCTACTTAAGTCAGACACTTCCATGTTGCACCTTTTTCCCTGGTTGTCTAGTGGGAGTAAGTGGTAGAAGAGCAGAGTTAAGAAACTCAAACTCTTTCTCTTTGGATGGGAAAGCCAGTGGGGACTGAATCCTTCTAGGACTACAGGATTATGTTTCCAATGGCAGACCCCACACAAATAGAAAAGAGCACTTCTCCCTTCCTCCCCCAAGGCCAGGAAAAGCAAAGAAGGTATCTATAACGAAGAACATCTATACATATACCCAGAGTTTTTCCTTTTATTTACAAAGCAGTAAACCAAATTCTTGTGTGAACATAAATATCCAATATACTATAATATTGCATATGCCATTCCCCCCTCAAATAGGACTTCAGGTTTGGCCAATTGTTCTGACTTAAGCCAAAAATTAGTTTAATCTATATGAACATATGATGGTAAGTAACCTATTTATTACTTTAAAATGTTTCCCCACCTAAAGGAAATGATGGTAGAGGGTAAGGGGAAAAGAGAAATAAGAGATGTAATAAAACCTATTCCACCATCTTTACCCTCATTCACAGCATGTCCCAGACGTTCAGTGCCTGGGCCTAGTCTCTATGGTAAACTTATACTGTTCTGGAAATGTCTCCACTTAGCTCTGTAAGGATGGCACCCTGCAGGGTGCTTCAGAGGAAACTTACTGAATTCAACCCAAGTGTGCTGAAAGAAATTGAAGAAGTTACTCAAAGAGCTGAACTTTAAAACAAGGAGTGGCTGAGGGTGAGGCATATTCTGTCTTGAGTTTCTGAGTGCTCTGGTACCATGCAGTGTCTGTACGCTGACCTTTGCCAAAGACAAGAAAGCCCAGGTAAGAGTCAGGGCAGCCATGGGTGAGCTGAAAGCCTGTTCCTGACTTACTAGGGTCTCGGGAATAGCCAGAGGTGAAAAGATCTGCCTTATTCACTACCTATTTGCACAAACCATGGTATCTATTTTCTGAGCCAGATTTCCAAAGGCTTTTCTGAAAACTACAAGATATACCCCTTGTGGACTGTGTTAAAGTAAATTTATCTTTATGTATTTGAACAGTGGCCATAGGTGTGCCTCTTCTCTACAGATTTTTCTCTGTCTCACACATACACATATAAACACACACATATACACACACAGAGTCTGTGTGGTGGACCAGTCATACCAAAAATAAATACTCTCACTTCTCTAAATTATAGAACTCATCTGATTTTTGAAATATGTTAATAAATAATCTAAATGGGGGAGGGAGTTGAAGTGTTTTTTTTTTTTTTTTTTTTTTTTTACTTATGTTGATGGATAGCCACAAAGCATAATCATCTTATTTACAAAAAACAAATCCCCCCAAACCTAACCACCCCCCCACAACTAAACATCTTCTGTAAAGATAGTTTTTAAATGATGAGTAAGGTACTGTGCCATTGGCCCCATTTGGTTATGTGCATCATGTTAGTCACTCAGCAGTAGCCATTCCACGAATTCCTCATGGGTAGTGCAACCAGTTAAAAAGTGTATAAAACATTATACATAGAAAAACTCTCACATCCTTTGGATGTTTGCAGTTCATCATAACTTTGTGGTTACCTTTCCGCAACATAAATTTAAAAAAAAATCACACACACACAGACACACACACTCACACAGACCCATATACAGAAACCCACTCATCCAGTCATACACCATTCAGAGTGTAGTGCGTGGGACTGAATTCCATGAGGCACGAAGGGGGCGATCCCATCCTCAGGGTAGTCCATCATCTTCAAGGCTTAATGCCACTCGCTGGGGAGACAAACCAAAGAATTCATCATCAGATGCATAAGAGTTACTATTTATTGAGTATTGACAAAGTACAGACTTAACGTTACTTTAACAGGTATTAGCTCACATAATCTTCAAACTATCCCAAGAGACAAGATTTATCCCATTTATTTTACAGATGAGAAAACAAACTCAATGAGCTTAAGTACGGTTTGTTCTGGATCACATAGCAAGTGGCTGAACTAAAATTTGACCCCCGGTCTGTATGAATCCAAAGCTGTAGATTTTTTTCATCATTTTGTTTTGTATCTTTATAAAGAAGAGTCGCATGGATCTAAATTTTCTCAATCCTCCCTTATAGGATTTTAGGTTTGGTCAATTTCAGTGGGTTAGCTTTGGCAAATGTTAAATTTCAGGCTATGAGTTACTTGTCTCTAGCATGCTAATCACATTTAGGAAGGTAATATACTTCGCCTTCCCAACAGATTAAACAGGATTGGAAGGCAATGCAGGTTAATTAAATTCCACCCCTCTCTCCCTCATCCCTACTTTCCAGTCATTGGGTAGATGCTAGACTCCTGTCTGCCAAAAATGGCTGACTGTGAGATGGTGAGCCCACTAACCCCCGAGCCAATCTATTCCATTCCTATGCTAATGTGAAATTTGTTTGTTTATATCTTCTGACATTCCCTGATTCCATCTCTCAGACTCAAGAGACAGTTCTACATAGGACAACCCTTGACATTTACAGATGGTGTTTGAATTCCCTTCCCTTCACTCTGAATGTTTTCTTTTCCATGATACACATCTAACTGGTCCTGATGCAATCTTGTTTGCCTCTTTTACATTTCCTGGATACCCTCCTTTGGAAAGACTTTCCCCAGCTTCAATATTTTTCTCATAGTTATGTGAATTTGGGCCAGGCACTTTACTTCTCTGAGACTTGGTTTTATTATCTATCAAATGGGAATAATAATAGGATCTACCTCATAGAGTTGTTGAGGAATCAAATGAGATAATGCACAGAGAGTGTTTAATATAGTACCTAACAACACATAGAGCCTAGAGTATCCCAGGTC